CAAAATACACAAAAAAAAAAAAAAAAATATATATATAGAAAACATAAAAACAAAGACTTAAAAAAAAACACATATAAAATATATATATATATATATATATATATATATATATATATATATATATATAATATGTATTATGGTAATTAAATAGTAAAATAGTATATTATAATCATGGTTAATTATTTTTTTATTGAGTTCATGTTATATCAAATGGTAATATGATAGTAAAACTATACTATAATCATATTGAAACTATATGGTTAAAACATATGAAATAAAAATTTGATAGTAAAATATACAAAGAAAGCTTAATGTGTTTTAACTGTATTAATATGAATTGAAATTAAATTACTTTTTATAAAAAAATAATATCTAATAAGGATGGTAGACTAAACCACTTAATGAAGTAAAGCAATTGTTTCCACTGTTTGGTTTATTATTAATGCATAGATAACACGTTTCAAAATTCGGATCTCCAAACCTAACCCAAACTACGACGGATGAATTAAGACAACGACGTTCCCTTCAGCCTCCGTTAATCGTGTAGTGTAGTAGGCCATTCATTTATTTGCTTTCTTTCACTTCTTATGTTTTAGGCTATAATAAAGGAAAGAATGTTCTCTTCCTTTTTTTTTCTTTCTTTTTCACACTCTTATAATGTTTTTTTAGTACATATTCTAGTGGGTTCAGCAAAAATTTAAATTAAATTCAAAACTTATCCAATTATATTGAAATTGATAAAAATTGGTACCAACAATGTTCTGCTTTGGTTGGACGGATTGAGATAGATTTATACAATTTATTGGGTTAGATTTAGAGACTTCGTTTAACTTAAATTGAAAATGTAAATGAATGTTTTAAAAAATATCCTTCTTTACTACAGTAAAAAAAGGTTCAAAATTGACAGCACATAAGAGAAGTTTTGGAAGTCGAAGCCGGGTAGTATTGACAATCGTAGACATTTTTGAAAAAGTCAAGGACGAATAGCTTCATCACATGAAAACAAAAAGATCACTGAAAAATTCTACGTTAATATAAAGGTAACCACATCAATAGAACTATGACAGCAAACCCAACTTTTATTTGAAATTTGAAACGTGACACTCTTCGATTGGAGAGAGAAGGATCGAGATGGAAATTCCAACGTTAGACACTGTTAAGGTTTCTAAAAATTAACAAACACGATGACGTTGTTTCCAACAAAAGTAGTATTTTCTTTCTGTTTTGAATAAAAAAATCAAAAGCATGTTTTCTTTCTGTTTTGAATAAAAAATCAAAAGCAAGAAGAAGAAGAAGAAAAAGGGAAGAAGAAAAAGGGAATGAGTTATGACCACTTGACCATATTTAAGTATCTCAATCACTTGCCACTTTTCATAACCATTCACGCTTCCTTTATTCTCCTTCTTCTCAAAACTTCATTCTCACAAAAATCTTCAACTTTAAGCCATGAAGATCCAATGTGACGTCTGTGACAAACACCATGCATCCGTCTTTTGTACCGCCGATGAAGCCGTCCTCTGCGACGGCTGCGACCACTGCATCCACCACGCCAACAAACTAGCTTTCAAACACCAGCGTTTCTCTCTTCTTCGACCCAGACAACACCCTCTCTGCGATGTTTGTCAGGTTAGTAACCGATTATACGAACGAAACAGAAACGAGAAAGGAAACTGTTTTTTCAGATGTTTGAAATTGTTGAAGATGGATTATTTTCTGTGTTGTCGTAGGAGAGAAGAGCCTTCACGTTCTGTCAGCAAGACAGGGCGATTCTGTGCAGAGAGTGTGACGTGTCGATTCACTCTGCGAATGAACACACCCTTAAGCATGATAGGTTCCTTCTCACTGGTGTTAAACTTTCTGCTTCTTCTTCATCGCAAGAAACCCCTTCTCCTTCAAACTCCGCCCCTGATTCTCTTTTTGACCTTTCGCATCAAAAAACAATACCTTTATCTTCCACCGTCAGTGAGGTTGGTGTTGAAGCGGCGGCTTCCACCGGCGCTAGCAGCATATCGGAGTATTTGACAGAGACTCTTCCTGGGTGGCAGGTTGAAGACTTTCTTGATTCGTATTCTGTTCCCTATGGTTTCTGGAAGGTCTGCACTTTCTTCTTTTTTCTCTTCTTTCAATTGTTGAAATCAATTGATTCATCTATTCTCTTGCATTGAAAACATAAAGATGGTATATTTTCTGTGACGGATCATTTGGGTACTATAAATATTTGACAGATGACGAGATACTATACAGTTTCCTGTTAATAATCTGAATTTGATAGTTGATCTTTGATGTGATACTACACATATTACCGGACGAAGTTTCAATTATGTAAATAAAAATGCATGAATTTATTTTATTTCATTCTAATTTTTTTTAATATAATAGATTTACTTCAATTAATTATAAAAAAAAATTATAATGAAATAAAATAAATTTATCCATTTTTATTTACATAATTACAATGTTATAAATTATTTAATTGAAATCATTTTATAAAAATTTAATTTAATTACAAAAATAATTGAAACCATAAAGTTTATTTATTTAATAATATTAAATAACATTAATTACTAATTATATATAATTTACAATATTTTATATACATTTAAATACATTATTTAAAAATAATAAATTATTTTAATCAATAAAAATCTAAAAAAAGTAAAAAAGTGTCAAGTGCACATCGTCAACTCCCTACAATTTTAATTATAAAATATTTTTATTAATTTAAATAATTTATAATGAAAAAAATTGTTATAATTAATCATAATTCTTAAAAAAATATAATATAATAATAAAAATAAATTATAATGAAATAATTTTGTTTTGAATTTTTAATTACATAAAGTAAAAATGTGTGAGGTGTACCACTTCAATAGGAGGAGAAGTCGTCAACCCCTACAATTTCAATATTTTTTATCAATTTACAATGAAAAGAGACATGGTAATCGATTATCACGTCTCAATATCTTTTTTTTGGTACACGACTTTACCTCTAAAATATGTGTCAAGGTGAAGCCATGTAAGGGACATAACTTCATTTGAAATCGTCTTGGTCCCCCACGACTTGCCTATATTGGTAATTACAAATTTTTTTGCCTAAATACGTAATTTTGGGTTTAAAATTGCCTATTTACGTACTAGGTGGAATTTCAATTGTGATAGTATTTCTAAAATTGGTATGGTGAATGATATGCTGAAACTTAAGTTTTGATGAAAAAAATAAGTGAACAACATTAAAGGCACTTATAACCTGCATTAATTTTCTTTTCTATTGTTTATGGGTTGATATAAGATTTGATGACCTGCAGAGTGATGAAGTGTTGTCACGGTTTGATGGTGACATGGAAAGTCATCTGGATACCTTTTCAATAGAGAACGTGGGAATATGGGTTCCTCAACCGTCGTCACCTCTTCTGAGTTCTTCACAGATGAATAGAGCGATTAGTCAAACGAAAACAACATCAAAGGTAGCAAATTGAGGTTGAAGGATGATAATTTCACTTTGCCACAGATTAGTCCTCAGTCAAATTCCAAGAGAGGAAGGTTTCTGTGGTAGAAACAAACACGCATCAATTTCCTATCTCATGAGCAAGAATTAACAACCTCTTTCTTTTGATTTGGTCTTAGGTTACTTTGTTGTCAATGTTTTTAATTTACCTACATATTAAACTTTTAAAATTCTAGTAATATATTTTTCGGTAATTACCGATGAATATATTTGTAGGTAATTACAAATGGACTTATTTGTCGATAATGACATGACTCAAGTACAAAACATTATTGACAACCAATATCCATTAATAAATAATATGTTATTTTCCAGTGCATGTGAATGTACTCTGTATACTCAAACCTGTGAATCCTACAAAACTAAACTATTTAACCGAGAATTCAAACAAACATTAATTATAATACTAGACAAACATGACAATATTTTTATTAAGTAAGTTAATCCAAACAAACAACGAGTTTTTAAAATATGTTTATAAATGACTAAAGATGCATATTTGATCAAAGATTGAATTTTTAAGTTAAAGCTCCAAATCAAGTTTTGGTTATTGAAAACCCTGTACACCACTTAATTGAACATATTAGAAGCCCCAGTTTCAGGAAGTCAAGAGTCATAATTAAACCAAAAATTTTAAAATTTCATATACCGCAGAAACATCTTTTAAGAACTTAATGTTTAAAAGGTGCGGAAACAAATCAAATTATAATAGTTCCAAAAGCAATATCCAATTACATCGTTCAAAACTTATTTAAAATAATTCAGAAAACAAAAATAAAATCAATAACGTAATTTCAAAAGTTTAAACATAAATAACTTTAAAGAACCCCAAATTTTCTCCGTCATCTCGTGTGTCTATCATGCTTCTGAAACATCTACAATGTTATTTGCTCATGTATATACGATCATCGCCGAAATGAAAAACAACAAACATAAACATGCATGAGGTAAGTTACGTTAAAATGAACCATAACAATATAATATATGAATATCACTTAAACACAACATAATAATAATCACGCAAACCCTATCCTTATCATTATTATCACATTAATCACCAATCCTCTAAACCTCATCAATGTCTTTATCATAAATTTCTCGACTCTCGATATCATCATAGACGTTACTCACATGGGTCCTAGATCTATCCCTACATCAACACTCTTGCTAATTACGCTACCATGGCAACCACCACGATCATAACCATTATCATAAAATCATCATGAGTATCATCATCATCATGAGCATCAACATCATCATAAACTTCACCATGAAAGACTCAGTCACACTCTTATATCATTCCTCACACATCTTTTATAATAAGCCGTTCGATTTGTTATCATCTTTCATATATTTTTTAATGGCAGTTCTAAAAGGAAAATATGGATTATATATATGCTAATAATAAAATTCGTTTAATCCCATATAAATCATTAAAGAAAAGAAAGAAATTAATATTCTAACCAACTAAATAACAACTATATTTTGTGTCCTTTTTTGTAAAGGATTTAGTTTGTAATCATTGCAAAGATCATATAACTTTGTTTTTCTTATAACAAAGATTCAAACTTATTAATCAATGTTTATTTTTTAAAAAGAAAATTTCTCTAACCCTCCAAATATAACTCAGAGTATTCACAAAGTTATCAAATAGTACAACACAATTTAATGTTTAATATTTTTTCTATAGATAACACGTGAAAAAAATAAGATTTAATAGTCTTTTTTCCTTACCGTTATATGATAATTTTATTTTTATCATGTCTCACTATTTTGAATGTTCTTAATTTGATATCATTTACTTTAAATATAGGTTAGTTCTTTATGTCAAATTAATGGTAGCAATGTTACAATAATGATATGCCTAACAGAATTTTGACTCAAGCAACAAATATCACTTGTCACTGTATCAACATCAGTAACATTGTAATCATGAATTTGATCAAAGGAATTACATTAACTCTTTTATAAAAAGGCATAAACCATATTAAAAAAACATTCAAAATTGAAAAAACAATACAATGAAAAAGGGAATTTTATATATAGATATAAAATGATAAATAAATAGTAAAATAGTATATTATAATCATGTTTAATTATTATTTTTACTTAGTTCATGTTATATTAAATGGTAATATGATAGTAAAATTATACTATAATTACATTGAAACTATGGTTAAAATATATGAAATAAAACTTTGATAGTAAAATATACAAAGAAAGCTTAATGTGTTTTAACTGTATTAATACGAATTGAAATTAAATTACTTTTTATAAAAAAAATAATATCTAATAAGGATGGTAGACTAAACCACCTAATGAAGTAAAGCAATTGTTTCAACTGTTTGGTTTATTATTAATAATGCACTGATAACACGTTACACAAAATGCGGATCTCCAAACCTAACCCAAACTACAACGGATGAATTAAGACAACGACGTTCCCTTCAGCCTCCGTCAATTGTATAGTGCAGTAGGCCATTCATTTATATGCTTTCTTTCACTTCTTATGTTTTTGGGCTAAAATAAAGGACAGAATATTCTCTTATTCTTTCTTTTTTTTTTCTTTTTCACACTCTTATAATGGTTTTTAGTATATATTTTAGTGGGTTCTGCAAAAATTTAAATTAAATTCAAAGCTGTTCCAATCATATTGGAATTGATAGAAATTGGTCTCAACAATGGTCGGATTGAGATAGATTTATAAACTTTATCGGGTTAGATTTAGAGACTTTGTTTAACTTAAGCTTAAAGTGTATACAATCTCTTAAAAAAAATCCCAGAGTTTATTTAATTCATTATAATTCATTAATGTTTATATCAGGAGTCTTACATCGATTATATATTAGGTCAATTTATAATATATAAGTATATGTAAATCTTATTTTATAAACTGGTTTTATGGAGTTGAGTTAGACTTAAAATTCAATTATTGATATTAAAAGGTAGCTTAAGAGTATATCATTGTATGAACATATTGTTCCATCCGTTATCAAATTACTATTAAATAGTATGTTAAAAATCTTACATCGTCTAAAGATAAACAAATTTATAACATATAAATAAGTACAAATTTTATTTTACAACTCAATTTTATAAAATTAAGTTAAACTTCATTTCTTACCCGTTAGTTTTTTCATATTTATAATTTTGTTATTAAGACTTGCTGAAAAACATATGAACTTCAATTGTAATTGAAAAAGCATGTGAATGACTTTGAATTCATAAGGTTTAATTGCTTCCTTTGTCCCCAGTTTGGTTGAATTGTGTCAAATTCATCCTCATTTTTAAAAAAGTTTCATTGTCGTCCTCACGTGGTATAAAAGTGTCAATTGAATCCAAACATAGAAAAAATTTGTGTCAAAGTAGTCATTTTTCCTATATATCTGTGTCTTCCTTTCATATGTCACTTCTCTGGAGCTATGAAAAGCCTTAAATTGGATAAGGTAAAATGAATATCTGTACTTGATTGTATGAAAGGAAGACACAGAGATATAGGAAAAATGACTACTTTGACACAAATTTTTTCTATGTTTNACGGATTGAGATAGATTTATACAATTTATTGGGTTAGATTTAGAGACTTCGTTTAACTTAAATTGAAAATGTAAATGAATGTTTTAAAAAATATCCTTCTTTACTACAGTAAAAAAAGGTTCAAAATTGACAGCACATAAGAGAAGTTTTGGAAGTCGAAGCCGGGTAGTATTGACAATCGTAGACATTTTTGAAAAAGTCAAGGACGAATAGCTTCATCACATGAAAACAAAAAGATCACTGAAAAATTCTACGTTAATATAAAGGTAAC